AGGGAGAGAGCTCTTCTTGAAGTATCCTATTTTCTTATACAGTAATCTGTCATATGATGTTTTGAAGGGTCCGATGGTTCTGGCATCCACAATTCTCTCACTTAAAATTATTTGAACTGTCCTTCGATATTCTCAAGAGAACTTTCGTACATTTTTCTGCACCTTTGTTTTCTTATTTTCAATCTATAATTTTTTTTTACAGTATTTATTTATACTGTATATACAAAAGTTCTTACATTCTTGTACAGTCAGTAGCACACATAACGTTTCGGGCAAGTCCTTAATCCTAATATTCCCCGGAATAAAACCCACCAAATCGTTTAACAACCAGTTACCCATTTTACTCTTGGGTAAACAGAGGCTACAGTTAAGGACTGACACCCACTAAATCCTTCCCACCCAGGATACAAAACCAGGCCAAAGTGCTCGAAAAACACTAGGCGAGCATCTTACCACTACGCCACGAGGACTGCTAACTGTTCTTGAAGTTGTTAGTATAAAAAATTCCTTCATGCCAACTTTGCAGATTGCTGTCACGATTTTCTATGTTGTGATCACATCGCCTTTTTACCTTCTAGCTTTTGCATATTTTATACCTCAGCTTGTGCCCACAGATTTTTTAAATTGGCTAGAGTATCAAAGATCTCTCTCTCTCCAGTGATAATTTACTATCCAATTTCATTTTTTTGAAACATATTTGTAGTAGTAGTAGACAGTGGAAAGGATTACACAATATATGGTCCCTAGATTTTAAGATGAGTCGGCAAATCTTTATCTACATTTTATGCAATTTTTCAACCTAGACATAAGTATTCATTCTATGATTATTCATTCTGTATTATAGTATAATACAACTCACAACTGATTATGTTTGTACACTTCTTGAACAGTGCTTTACTGACAAAGTTTGTTCGAACCACAACGCTGTAAATGCTTCACCCATGTACTACAAATACAAATACTGTAATCGCCAACAGAACCTAAACATCTAACCTAATCAATGCCTAAATATGCAAAGTATGCTAATACAGTACATAACAATATTAACACTTCCCTGGATTTTCCACTTGGAATTACGGGCGTTTTGCTTAACCGCTTGTCGGATCACGACGTAAATTTACAGACCGTGTTATAGTGGGTATTTACTACTCGATCGACTTGGGGTCTGTATGAATATGTTTGCCATTAAATTTTAGTTTTCTCTAATAGGCACAGTGCCTATTTGAGAAAACGGCAATGTATTGTAACTTAGAGGAGAGACTATTGAGTTGGTGACACAACGAGGGTAATCGCCCACTCCACACACTCTTGTGTTGGCCGCGATCATGATTCTACATTTATATGCATATGTCTGTGTAGAGAATTTTATTCCGAACACTATACAAACAAAAAAAAAGGTGTGAAACAAGTAAAAACTTGAAAAAACATGAGCAAAGTAAAAACTTTTTACCCTCACGGGTACAAACACGCGTAAGATTTTATTCGCCGCAAATTTATTTGACGCTCTGTTGGTCAATTCTACCCACGTTCTTATAGAACTTTCTATTGTTATATATAAAACTTTCTATTGCGAACACATTGCTATAAAAATGAAATACGTAGCTCGAGAAATAATGTCAGGACAGTGAAATAAGTATAAACTTTCAAAGCGCTGCATCACAACAGTGTCATCGCTGCTGAAATCTCGGCTAACGCTTCGCCCAGTTCCCACACTCGTGTGGAACATAATTAGACATTGATAGGCATATGTCTGGGTGGGGAATTTTATTGCGAGTTCAGTGATATCAAAATAAGCGCTGTAGGATGACTGTGAGGCTGGCAACAAACGAAAGAGTATGAACATTTACTTCCTGTTTGGGTGTCACGGTGAGTCATCTTCGTGAATATTTACTTCGTGGTGGGATAGCAAATGCTTTGGTGACATTTTATGCATATGATCTTGTAGAGAATTTTATTGCCAACACATTGATACCAAAATGAAAAACGTAGCTCGAGAATTGATGTTAGGAGTGTGAAAAGATTATACACTTTTTTGTGTTTACGCTTGAGCGCCCAGAACGCCGCGCGCACAAGGTGCTTTTTTTTTTCACGAGTGCCGCGCGCACTAAAGTGTTAATTTATATTTGAGAAAATTCCTATTTTGCACGAACAGCATGTTAAAATTTATGAATGTATCTTTGGGGTCAACTGCTGGATGGAATGAACATAGACAGCAACAGAATTTATGAAAAAGTCTGTGAAGAAACCCTCATATTGTACCTAACATCGTCCAACATACACATCCTTAACAAAAACTGACTCAACACTGACAAGAGCTGACCCAACATTGACCACAGCTGACCCGACATTGACCACAGCTGACCCAACATTGACCACAGCTGACCCGACATTGACCACAGCTGACCCAACATTGACCACAGCTGACCCAACATTGACCACAGCTGACCCAACATTGACCACTGCTGACCCAACATTGTCCACAGCTGACCCAACATTGACCACAGCTGACCCAACATTGACCACAGCTGACCCAACATTGTCCACAGCTGACCCAACATTGACCACAGCTGACCCAACATTGATCACAGCTGACCCAACATTGACCACAACTGACCCAACATTGACCACAGCTGACCCAACATTGACCACAGCTGACCCAACATTGACCACAGCTGACCCAACATTGTCCACTGCTGACCCAACATTGACCACAGCTGACCCAACATTGACCACAGCTGACCCAACATTGTCCACAGCTGACCTGACATTGTCCACAGCTGACCCAAGATTCACAAGAACGGACCCAACACTGACAAGAACAGACCCAACACTGACAAGAACGGACCCAACACTGACAAGAACGGACCCAACACTGACAAGAACGGACCCAACACTGACAAGAACGGACCCAACACTGACAAGAACGGACCCAACACTGACAAAAACGGACCCAACACTTACAAAAACGGACCCAACACTGACAAAAACGGACCCAACACTGACAAAAACGGACCCAACACTGACAAAAACGGACCCAACACTGACAAAAACGGACCCAACACTGACAAAAACGGACCCAACACTGACAAAAACGGACTCAACACTGACAAAAACGGACCCAAATCTGACAAAAACGGACCCAACACTGACAAAAACGGACCCAACACTGACAAAAACGGACCCAACACTGACAAAAACGGACCCAACACTGACAAAAACGGACCCAACACTGACAAAAACGGACCCAACACTGACAAAAACGGACCCAACACTGACAAAAACGGACCCAACACTGACAAAAACGGACCCAACACTGACAAAAAACGAACCCAACACTGACAAAAACGGACCCAACACTGACAAAAACGGACCCAACACTGACAAGAACGGACCCAACACTGACTAGAACGGACCCAACACTGACAAGAACAGACCCAACACTGACAAGAACAGACCCAACACTGACAAAAACGGACCCAACACTGACAAGAACGGACCCAACACTGACAAGAGTCTACCCATTATAAATATTAAAGCAATAGAGTAAAACTTATATAAAATAGATAATTTTCATGTGATATTGTTTCCAAATATGTGCAAATACATGTTTCATCAAATGTACAAATAAAATAAAACTTTTTATGATTAGTAAAAAATATAGAGAAGTCCAGATAAGCTAAAGGGGTTTGGTCTCAAATTACTTTGGATAATGGAGACTCCCAAAATATTTAATTGAATTCCTCATAACAATAGAATAAACTTCTATTCTCTAATAGATAAAGGTTATCAAAATCTTTGATGTAAAACAAATACAGTGCTGAAAATATAATATTAGTTTCTATTCACAATACACATACTAATGTGTACCTCAGTTCCAGTATAATATATATATAGTATATATATATTATATACATACATACACAGTACTGTACTGTATATCCAAGTACTGTACTATGAATGCTACAAGGGTTAAATAGTTGACATACAAGACACATAATTTGCTTCAATGTTAGTACTGTATTAATAAAATAAGTACCAAAACAACTTTTAGTTAATGTTACATCTATTATGTAATGTGCAAGATATAGGTTTAAGAAAATTAATAACAGCTACATTTATAACAACAATTATACAGTTTGATATTATCGATATAGGCTACATAATAAGCAACCTTATAATATTTGAATAAATCTCAGGAGGCCAAAACCAATTTGTGTATCTAAATCAATTTGAACCAGTAAGTTCTTGTGAAGTAAATTACCAGTAACATTATGTGGAAAAATCACATTAACAGTAAAATTTTTTATTATATTATTTATAAATAACACCATCATTCTTACACATTACAGTCATCAATGAAAAGTTTTGGGATGATAATTAAAGCAAAATTAAGTCCAAATTATTATTAGCCAAAACAATACACTGACAAAGGTCATGAATTCCAAAATGTGAACTTTGCATTCCAGTTCAGGGGTGTACATAAACTAGGAATTCTACTACATTATCATCCCTCTGTTATTTCCATCTACATCAAATGTGTTAAATGTATATATATATATATACAAACAAATCACAAACCAGAAGACCATTAGTAAACTAAAATACTTAATGCAGATGAGAAAGATGCTGTAGTAGTCAATAGGCATCAGTCCTTCTCAGAGATCTTTGTCAGTTATTGTATTAAAAATAAAGCATTTGAAGAAAATTGAGATGCAGGCTCATTTTGCTCCATTAATAAACTTTCAACACAAAGTCAGAGCAGATTAAATATGCTAAAAATAAAGGATCCCAAAGTCCAAAGAACGTGCACAGTTGTTGAGCCTGTCCATTCTGATTTACACATGATAGACTGTTAAGCCAATTACATCACTACAGCATACACGGCACCGTCAACACAACCAGGATTAATACTAAGAGCACCAATTACAATGCAGTTACCACCTTCACCTGTACCACCACCATCACCCGAGCATGCTAAAAAGAACTCACTCTCTGCTAACCTGGAGCTTAATGTTCTCAATCTGCTCATGAACAACCCCCGCATCACATGGGAAGGAATAGTGTATTAGTATCCTGCACACCTCACTCTTTCTCACGCATTTATCAATAATACCAAAAGCTGTTTGAACCTCAGATGGAGTTGAAACACTTCTAAGGCTCATCCTTCAATGTAAATATGCTAACTGCATATTACTGCTAACTGCATTAATATAGGAGCTATGAAAGATTGAGAATTTAAATTTATTATTTATTTATTCAAATTAAACTGAGCCTAATGTGAACTCCATCAAAAGCATAATGGATATGATTAGCTATATTAACCCTTATTTCAAGTTTCAGTGAAGCTCAGTTTTATATACTGTATAAGAAAATGAGCCAGAAAGAAACTTCCTAACAAGCAGATCATGGAGCCAGATGTGTTCAAGATGCTGTAATATTGTTATTAAAGTATTTGAAAGTTTGCCAATATTGTGTTGCATTTGATTAGGTAAATTGTTCATGGAAATAATTTGCTCATGTGCAAACCCAACAGAACATTAAAGATAGGATAAGTCTCAAACACACTGGCATTTTTTTTCCCCCAATAATCAACAAATTGGTTTCTCAATTAAGAAGCATGTGTTATTAAGAAGCGGAACTATAAACTTTCATGACATCTGAAATAGATGAGGGAAAATATTGTCTCCAGAAAATATGAATAGGAATCAGTAACAAGAAATATATGAAAATTAATTACATAAAAGTCACTGATTCACAGGCAATATTAAATTAATTGTGTTAACTGTACCCATGATTTTGTTTTTACTATATACAATGAATACAAATATACAGAAACATATAATTATACAAATCCAAAAAATAAATAAATTTATTAAAAACCATAATTAGGGCATAAATGATAAATACTAAAATCACACTTCAAAAGTATAAGGTTTAAGGACTACAGGGGGTATATTTCAAACTATTTCTCAATTTGACAGACTGAGATACTTTCAGGTGTTGAAGTTGAGCTTCCTGTGGGTCGGCACACAGACAAGTGGCTGGTAACATACAAACTAACAAGAACACCACCTTCCCAGTTCTTCCCAACCCATGGATTGTTTACTTTATTTTAATACACTGGAATATGTTTCAAATGTACTGTACTGCACTTCCTATTTTTATACAACACAGTGTGTATAAATTTTGTGCAACGATCACAATCTTTAACACAAATATTGGTATAGTTATTCTTAACCTAAAAATTAGTTAAATTCCAAAATGTTTAGGGGCTAGAATATATGGTGCAGAAACACTAGTACTACATATATTGTAATATATATTGCAAAGTTAAAATTTCTGACCATCAGCAGACTAGTTTATTGAGCCGAGTGCTGGGGAGCACGAAATACAAACACATACGATAGTAATGAATTACAACACTGGGTCATTTATGGGTGGAGCAAGTTCCTTGGGACAGGGGGTGAAGGAGGGGAGAACAACCACACTCTCCCTCCTCTGGTCAGTCTTTAACCTTTAAACTGCACAAAATGTCATATGATGTGTGACACTGAACTCAGTTTTTAAAAATTTCTGAAACGCTTTCAAAAGTTTTGTGCATAATCTACTAGGCAAATGCTCCAACTTTGTCTAAATGATACCAGTGTAACTTGAAAAAACAAGAAAATAAAAAATAATCATAAAATTGAATATTGAAAACTTCAGATTTTGAAATCTGCTGCAAAAATATAAAAATATCACCAACTGTTCATTTGATGTTATTATGCTCTCAGAATAGCATATGATTTTCATTTTTATATATTTAGAATATAGGTTTTCAGTATAGTTTGCTGTAAAAAAAAAAATTGTCAACATGGCATTTGAAATATGCGCAAATTTAGACAACAAAAATTTGTAAATACAAACGTTTGGAGTTTATGAAAAATCAATTCTATAGGGATTGAAGAACAGACAGCTGTTCACACTTTTTGTAAAAATGGTGAGAATCGGTCAGAAACTAGATTTTTGGATACTGAAGTTGAAATTCTAGTTATAGATATAATTGAAGTTGAAGTTATCGACAATGAATAAGGCAGTTCTAAATCATGAGTTTACTTGTATGTTGTAATAAACATTGTTTGGCATTTGTACTCAAGTATGTGAAAGTTGTAGGTCAATGTGTGTAGAAATGAAGTAAAAAAATACTCCCCGCCCCCCCCAAAAAAAAAAAGTGTTGAATGTAATGAAACGCCATTCACTGGGTGAGCCCTGGATGCTCCCTGGAGCTCATCGGGCTAATGTATGTTAGCCCGATAAGAGACAAAAATTGCCGAAAGGACCGCCAGGAAATTTCATACTGCCTTCTAGATGAAACTCGCAGGTGGGATACCATCAACTAAGCCACCTGATCACCATACAAGTGGTGATACACCCGCGCCAAAAAACCCAGACGCAAAGAGTGGAGGAGAAGATCGAACCAGCCACGTAACGGACTGGACCGATCTGCTGAAAGAGGCGGAGCCGCGGGAAAACCCTCGGGTTCGGACATCGAGCAAGAAGTACCTGAAACCAAGGCTGGCCCGGTCACCAAGGAGCCAACAGGACTACTCTCCCTTGGTAAGTCTCCAACCAAGCCAGGATCTGGAGCAACAACCAGACCGAAGGGAAGAGGTACAGGTAACTCTGCCTCGACCAGTCCAGCCGAAAGGCATCGACCTTGATGGCCTTGCAGTCTGGAAAGGAAGTCACATAAACTGGAAGACGCCTCGACCACACCGATGCGAATAGGTCCACCTCTGGGCGCTCGCACGTCTGGCAGAGCCAACTGAATGAGTTGGCGTCGACCGTCCATTCCGTGGAAGGGGAATGAACCGAGACAGGCCGTCCGCCAGGACGCTTAACACCCGAACTCCGCAGACGAGTCACCCGAAGCGACTAGCCCCAAAGAAATAAGGACTGCATCGAACCCCCGGGGTTCAGGAAATGAACCACCGGGAAGCAGTCTGAATGGAGCCAGATCATTGCTCCTCGAGCGACCCAAATCCTCTGAAGCGAATGCCACACTGCCGTGAACTCCCTCGCCATGCTGTGAGCTTGACGGAAGGACGGACCCCACCGACCCTGGCAAGCCTGGTGACCACTTATCACAAAACCCCAGCCGAGAGACAAGGCATCTGTGAACACATCGAGCGAGGGCTCGGGGAGGCACCACAGCACAGAACCCCGAAAAACCTGCAGAGGATGCTGGCAACGCAGAAGGGACGACCCTGAAAAAACCAGAACATCCGCCAAAGCCAGATCTGATCTGATGGGTAGACCAGCACGGCGAAGCTCAGCCTCCCATACAGTCGCTCAAACAACTGACGGGTGACCCGGGCGCCCTCCAAAAACAGCAGAGGTGGGGCTGCAGCCGCAAGAAAGTCACAGGAAGAAGAGACAAGGAAGTGGTCCAAGAGTCCCACACCAAACCCAGCCAAGTCCGAACCTGAGAGGGAACCAAAAGGGACTTCCTCCAGTTCACAATGAACCCGAACCCGGCGAGCTGGGAAAGACCCATCTCCCTAGCGAGCAGACACGCGAACTGGCTGGGAGCCCACACCAGCCAGTTGTTGAGGTAAGCCAGAACCTGAACCCCTAACAGAAGCAAACAGGTCACCATGACCCAGTAAGGCTTGTGAACTCTCGAGGTGCCAGATTCAAGCTGAATGGAAGGCAACGAAAGCGGTAAGCTTGTCACCCCACGACAACACCGAGCTAGTCACTGAACCCCGGATGAATCGGGATGTGTACAATAACATTATTAAACCAGAACTGAAGGGCAAGAGCTACGAAGAGAGGTTAGAGGCATTAAATATGCCAAAACTGGAAGACAGAAGAAAAAGAGGTGATATGATCACTACATACAAAATAGTAACAGGAATTGATAAAATCGATAGGGAAGATTTCCCGAGACCTGGAACTTTAAGAACAAGAGGTCATAGATATAAACTAGCTAAACACAGATGCCGAAGAAATATAAGAAAATTCACTTTCGCAAACAGAGTGGTAGACGGTTGGAACAAGTTAGATGAGAAGGTGGTGGAGGCCAAGACCGTCAGTAGTTTCAAAGCGTTATATGACAAAGAGTGCTGGGAAGACGGGACACCACGAGCGTAGCTCTCATCCTGTAACTACACTTAGGTAATTACGCGTCCCGGAGGTCCAGACACCATCCAGGTACCTGGCGCCAAAAGCAGCCGGACCTGAGACAGAGTGGTCATCTGAAAGGAGGGGGGCAAAAGTCCCAGGGATTCAGACTAGACAAGTCCAGTATGAATCACAGAACCGCACAGTCCCGTTTTGGAACTGAAAACAGGTGGGAAACCCACCAGAGGGACGTTGTCGTTTTGACCACACACAAGCAAACCCACTCCCGGATGACCTGACAAAGCACAGGAGAAGAGGCCTACCCTGCCAGCCCCGATCCCCCGAAAGGAGGAGGAGCGACCCAACTCCACCACAGGTTGGAGGAAATGACCCGGAATGCCCACGAGTCATGGGACCAGGCGAGAGCAAACAGCGTGAGCCCCCCCCCCCCTATCGTCCCATCAACGGAGCAACCCGCAAAAGGGCCGACGACCCCTACAAGAGCCTAACCAACGCTAAGAGCGATTACTGCGCTGACCAGATGCCGATGGCTCCAGAGGTGGTGCCGGCCCCGAATCTGGCACTACTGGCTTACGACGACCGAAGGAACCCTGAGACCTGGCACGACCCTACCGGGCAGGACCTCCATGGCCCCCCCGGAGAACCTACAAGTCCGACAAAGGCCGTCAACTAGACAAAGCTGCCGACAGGAAAAGCACCACCGCAGACTCTGCAAACAGCAACGGACAAAAAGGTGATGAAAATCTAAGAGCCAGGGCCCAAGATGATTCCAAAAATTTTTAGACAAGCACAGCCTGTCTGCACGCGAGGCGAGAAGCGAAGAACAGACATCGCCTCCCTCAGAAACGGTGCATACAACTTCACCAAAGCAGCCGGCGCCCGAGCTGCCGAAGTA